GATATTTTATTTTTTGTTTTTAAAACAAAAAATTAAAATATTTTGAAAATATTTAAATCCAAAACATTTATCTATTTTTTTTATTTTTAAAAATAGAAATCAAACAAACCTTAACTCACTCTTTCATGTTCATCTACTCATGCAAACCTTGTTTACCAAACTGTAAGCATTATTTATTAAAAGATAGGAATGAATCTTAAATGTAGAAATAGAAGAAGGCGGCCCCTTTCTTTATAGAAAGAAATGATATTTTTGTGAATACAATAAAAAATTAATCAAATAAAAATTAATCAAATTTACTTGATGTCGAAGCAGTCAAGAAAACTGCATAAAAATGAGCTAATCTAATCAATTTTGCTTGCACAATGGTTTTGTTGGCAAAAGATGTTATTATTGGTTTTACACGTATTTATTCAGGGAAAAAATTGATTTGTTTGAGGTGTTCAAACAAATTCAAAATATTCTAGGAACATCATGATGAGGTAAAGAACAATTAGTTATATTGCCAAAAATTAAAAAAATAAATTTTAATCAAGATTACATGAACTCAATTTAGTAGTTTAACATGCTGTAAATTAGATGTGGTTAACTTAATAAATGTGATTTAATCTAATTATTCAAATATTTTGCCTGTATCTGTGACTAATATGGAAATTAAGACATAAAAAATTCAAGCTAAGAATTTAGATATAAAATTATCTCTATTTTCTAGCGGGGCTAAATGTGGGGCTCATACATTTTATAAAATTTGAAGTGAGCTGTGCTGATTTATAAATATTAATTCATATAAAATATAAATACATAGAGAACTCATTCAATAAATTGAAATTAATAATTGATTAATGATTTAAAAGGGTCCTCGTAAGAGTAAAAATGATGGCTAAAGTGCCAAACCATAAACAACAAATAAGAAAAGACTAGAAAAAAAAAACTAAGTGAATACAAAATAACATTGTAAAAGATTATATTTTGAATGTCTAATACAATTAAAAAATATATACTTCCTCTATTTACAAATATAAATTATTTTTAATTAAATCTCACTCTTTAATAAAACATTTACTTATTTTTAAACTAACATCACATTTTTATTTTTACTATTATTTACTAGGATATTTTACTCTAAAATAAATATAAAATAATTTTTTATTAGAGATGCTTTTAGAAAAACATAATGATTATACTTTAAAATACTAAAAATACTTCATATTTTTTAACATTTAATATCTTAAAAAAATACTTTACTTTTTTAAATGGAGGGAATAGCGTTTTATTAATCACGAACATGTTCCAGCAATTCATTTTTTATTTTTTATTTTTTGGGTACGCTGAGCAATTCAATTTTGGAACAAATTTTATCCACCCATCTTCTTTCTCATGCAATCTCTCTATTTTATCATATGCATCATTTTTTTCCCACAAAAACCATAGATAAATTATTTTAATGGTTTGTATGTATACACAATTATTAAAAAGTAAAAATTCCAATTTTTTATTACATTAGTCAATTTGCATAAAAAACATAAGTTTTACAAAATATATTGACGAATGTTTGTGACAAAAAAGGTTACAACTTACAAGATTATTTTATTTTTATATGCTAGATATGATGATGATATAGTTAAATAACATCTTGATCAAAAAATAGTCAAATAACAAAACTGCCCTTACCTAAAAATACAAAGATGTTGGCAGTAATATGAATTTATATGCCATTGGCAACATAAAATTATATATAAAGTTATAAACAGTCATTTTCCATTTGCCCCATTAATCTTCTCAGACGCGGTTGAAAGCTGAATGTTTGGCATCGTTTAGTGAGAAGGAATTTTATAACGGAGACTTTGATAGATTAACTTCCAATTAATTAATAACACTACGAATGGGTTCGGTTTCGGTTGCTGTTGAAGTTGGAACTAACTTTCTTGTCGTGGAAAATGAATAAAATAATTAATAAATATTATTAAATAAATAAAAATAACTTTACTGTCAACATCTAAACGCCAGCCTCCGTTTGTAACTCGATGGTGAATAAGTTTTAATCGAAAAAAAAAAATTAGAGTAAGTTTTAAAGGTACAATTTTATTTTATTTCAAAAAGAAAAAGTTCATTTATTGAAGAAAAAATTACACATAAATCCTACGTAAGATAATTAATTACTCTTAAATTTATTAATAACTGAGATTAAGAATAACAACACATAGACTTGGGATTAATTAATTATCTTATATGGAACCTTAAAGTAATTCTCCCTTTATTGAACATGAAAGTAATTTATCAAAAATGATTTTAATTTTATTCTTTTAGAGACATAATAAATTCAAACAAAAACCTTGTCCAGAGTGTAAATTCACATTACTCAATAAAAATTAATTCAATTGGTAAGTATTTAACTCATAATTTATAAAATTATATGATCAAATCTTACTACCATTGTGATATTGTTATTGGTGGATAACTTATAAGTATCTTTATAAGCATTTTTTGAGTTTAAGGCTAATCCTAATGTTAGTAAACTCTCAAAACTCAATTTACCAAAAATTTCTTTTGGATGTTATTCACCTAAACTTTTATATATATATATAAAGTGTGAATTCACATATTCACAACCAAGCATCTTAGCTGGGGTGTCTCCATTTCCAATCCCCCGCTTCTATTTCTCCTCTGTTTCCTTAAAAATGTACCATTTTATTTATTAAGAAAATACAGAAAAAAAATTGAAAGCAAAAGGAAATAAAATGAAAGCACTGAACCTAGATTCTCTCCTCCCACCCTCTCCCCATTGCATACAATCCATATTAAATATTTTAATTTTAATTTTATATGTATTAAAATAAAAAATATAAAATTTTTTATTAAATCTGATTAACAATTTTGACAATCCAAATTTAATATTAATAGTTTAAATTTAATATTAGATATGTTATAATTTTAATATTAAACTTGTACTGTTTAGATTATATTTGGACAGTCAACTTATAAAAATTAAAAAAATTAGTAAATCTAATCACTAATATGGACAATTTACATTTAATATGAGTAGTTCAAATTTAATATTAAAATTTTTTATAAGTTTATTATTGAATTTACACTATTTAGAATATATCTTGAAAGTTAATTTATAAAATTATAAAAAAATTTGATGTTAAATTTAGACTACTAAATTAATAATAAAATGTGCTATTAAATTTTTTATAATCTTTAACATAATAAAAACTATGCAGGGTAAGATAGGATGAGGATGCTTTCATTTTTTTTGCTTTCTATTTTTTAGTATTTTTTTAATAAGAAAAATGGTACAATTTTAAGGAAATCTAGGAGAAATGGAGGGGAAAATGAAGACACCCCACACTAAACTGAAGAATAAGAGTCGAACCCAAAGGCTAGGCCTGAGGGTTCTATTTAAATAAGAGTTCAAATTTTAAAAATTTAATTTTTTAAAAGTAATCAAGATTAAGAGCCTAGCCTTGATAAGCCTTGTGAAAAAGGGCTTGAACCTGAGAGGCCCTTCAAATCATGATAAGTCGAACATACATACATATACTTGATGATAATGAAATAACTTGGTTAATATTTATTGTAGGTGATGAAGAAAAACTTGTAGAGATAATTGATATTAAATTTTCACCTTATTTTCAACAAGTAGACCCACATCTGAGGGATCTAATATTTTATTTTTAGATGATGATGAGAAAGATTTAGATTTACATTAATGATGAAGACTTTAATCTTTATCTCAAATTTAAAATTTTAAATCTTTGTCAAATATTATGTGAGACTTTAATTTGTCTTATGTTGAATTTCAGAATATTTTGTTGAAATTAAAATGTTAGATTTTTTTTTTTAGGAAAGATGACTCAAGGGCTTGGCCTTAAGCCCTACAAATAAGGACTGGGCCTCAAAATTATGTCAAATCTTGAGTAACCGAGCTTTAAAACTTGAGCCCTTAATGGCCTAGCTCGCCCTGATTTCTACTTTTACCCCACACTAAGGCCTACAAAGGTATAGCTCAAGTGCTCAATTTGCTAGCAGTGCGCTTGTAGTCAAATGAACCACTGCAATGATAAGATGGATGCCTAATTGTTTTGTGAAAAATGCTTTATCCATATAGTTTTATTAAGTTTTGCTTTTAGTCATTATAATTTTTTAATGTTTTCAATCCCTATAGGAACTAAAATTACTAAAAAATGAAAACTATAAGGACATGAAAAATAAAAGTTACTTAATCTTTCTGAAATTATAGAGATTAAAAAAATCTAATAAAATTATAACGATCGAATATTGTATTTTCTCTTGTTTTGTAGAAAAATATGATCAAGAAAAATTTAATTTAAATTTTCAGCTCCAATTACAATGCAATATGTTTCATACACTAGCATGTAATCAATAAAAGCTATCACTATTTATGAAGAGTTTAAATGACCTTTTTGCCCTTTAACTATTTATACAACAATTTTTTTATGTAACATTCCTTTTTAGTATTTGAAAGAAGTGTAATATTATCCCTACTGTTAACATAAATGATTTTTGACCATGAATTGATTTCAAAAATTGCAAAAAGAGGACTCGAATAAGTGCAGTTATAGATAATATTTACAATATTTTAAAAGAGAAAAAATTATAAATAATAATATTTAAATTATTAAATATCAAAGTAGTAATATTTTAATCATATGTTATTAAAACAGGGGAAATCACAAATAAAGACTTCCAAAATTTACAAACAACCATTCAAGACTATAAAACTCTGCAATTAAATTTTAGGATCATGATCCTTTTCCATAATTAACCATTTTATGTTCTAAATGAAATACTTCAATGATCTTCTCAATCTCATTTGTGATTTCTCTATTTCTTTTTTTAATAATATAGAAGACAACTAAAACCCGACCCTATGTCCTAGCTAAGGCATTACTCTTAGGATAGTCATCCTTTATAATTATACAAAGTTCTTGAGGAGCCTGTAAAATAGCATGAAACCCAAGAATAGTTGATAATCCCTACTTAGCCAAGAAATCTACTGATTTATTACGATCACGAACAATACGCTTGGTATCTACCTTCCAATTTCTGCCCATAAGATGCTTGACTTCCATAATGACCCCAAAGTCCATGTGCTCAGGATTTTCAGCATGAACAATCAACCTTAGAGCTTCAGTTGAGTTTGACTCTAGAATAATCTTACGATAACCCATATTCCAGGCCAATCTCAAACCATAACACACCCATAATTCAGCGAAGAGATGATTATCGTCTCCCATCTGATACATGAAGCCTGCTATAAAAGCTCCTTGAGAATTATGTATAAGGCCACCACAAGCCACTACTTTAGGCGTAAATGCGCAGGCACCATCAACTTTCATCTTGAACCAGTCATCTAATGGGGGCTCCTAACCTATGCATGTACTAACATTGTAAACTAAAGAACTCTTTCCTTGATCCAGCTTTGCTCGAGCCACCCTTATACTTTCAGAAAGTGCTGTAGCACGTTTAGGTATCGTGTCCAATTGAGTCAATTTGTCTTAAAAAAATCTTGTTCCTACGCTTCCAAAGCCACCAATAGATGATAATAAATACCACTGCCCAATCTATATTCACATTATTAACCCCCTGAGCGAATGTTCCATTAAACCTACTCATTCAAAGGTAAATGGAAAAACTTATACAAGTATGACGGTTCAAGATCTTATGCTATGTTCTTTTTATATCTTGACAGTCCCAAAGAATGTTGAGAATATCTTCTGGTCCAAGATGACAAATTGTGTAGACATCATCATCACAAATTCCTCATTTCTTTCGCAAAACATTTGTAAGGAGATTATTCCAACAAGCCACCCATAGTAATGATTTACATCTCTTCGGGGATTTAATTAGATTAGTTTCCCAAAAATGATCTATAGTAGACTTAGATGTTGAAATCACGTCATAAGCAAACTTAATTGAAAACTCACCACTTTTCTCCCATCTCCACTTTACATTGTTGCCTCTGCTATTATGTTCTAGACTTAATTGTACCAATTTCTAGAAGGCTTTTATTCTTGCCCATACATTAGACCTTGAACATTTGGCATTGATCTATGGGATTACATCATCCCCACATTTATACTTATTTCTAATCACTTTAACCCACAAGTCATCTCTTTTTCAAATGAGGCCCCACCCAAGTTTTATGAGTAGAGCTAAATTTGGATCTTTTATATGTCTTAACCGTGAACCTCCTTTCTTCTTTGCAGAACACACCTTATCCCATGTGAACAGGTGAATTTTATGTTTCTTAAAAGAACTCCCCTATAAGAAGCTTCGATTGCATTTGTCCAGAGTCTCACACGTTGTATTAGGAAGAAGAGAGGTTTGCATAACATGACTAGGGATAGCTTATGTGACTGCTGAAACTAGAATTGTGCACCCAATAAGAGAAATTGAAAATGGGTTCCACCTACTTAACATGTCTTTCACTTTATCCAAGGTCCCTCTAAACGTGTCTTTATTCACCCTTTGATGAATGAGAGGCACTCTTAAATATTTACACAAGTCTGTTGTTTGCATAAATCCCAAAAACTAGCTTATTTCTTCCCTCTTGGTGTGATTAATATTTTAGGAGAAAAACAAGTGAGTCTTAATGGCATTCACCTTCACACCTGAAGCTGAATAAAAGTTGTCTAGAACTGATTTAATGATTTTAGCTTGTTGAAGAGAAGCCTTAGCAAATAAGATAATATTATCTGTAAAGAACAAATGGGAGATAGGCGGCCCTGATTTAGTGAGGCACATAGGCCTCCAAGTGTTAAGGTTCATCTACTCTAGAATGAGGTGTGCAAGCTTTTCCATACAAAAAACAAACAGATAGGGAGATAAAGGGTCACCCTGGCATACTCCCCGTGAGGGCTAGAAGCTATTAGCATTGGACCCATTCAATAAAAGTTGCATATCCACAGTAGACACAGTAGCACTAATAACATTGATAATAGATGTTGGAAGTTTAAGCTCATGAAGACAATTAACAATAAAATTCCAACTAACTCGATCATAGGCTTTCTCAAGATCTATTTTAATAGCCTAATCGTTTTTTCCCTTCCTATTTCGCATGGAATGAATAACCTTCTTGAATGATTATAATATTATCAGTGCTATGTCTCCTAGCGACAAAGCTGCATTGAGTGGGAGAAATAATATGAGGTAAAAAAAACTTTATCCTTTTTGAAATTACCTTCATGATAATTTTGTAAATCACATTACAAAAACTTATTGGCCTCAAATCCCATAAATTTTTAAGGGGATTCTTCTTCAGAACAAGGATAATTAAAGTACCAAATTAATTTCCTTGATAGCCTGAGGATTAAGAAAAATACGCTAAACAAACTCCATAACAAATCCCTAACTCTATACCACTGATTCTGATAAAAGAGAGCATTAAAACTATCCGATCCTGGAGACTTAAGAGCTCCCATGTCGAAAAAAGCCTCTTTTTTACTTTTGTCACCCTATTTGCACATAATTGTGAGTGAGTCTCGTTAATTGAAGGAAAGTGCACCTGGCAATTAATGGCGTCATGTACAACATTATCTTTCATAAATAAGGTAGCAAAATAATTCGTAGCCATAAGCTTAATAAAATTAAGGTAATAACACTATTCCCCATCATCACCTCACATAGCTTCAATTGTATTAATTTTCAGTCGCTTGTTGGCATAAGGATGAAAAAACTCATGTTTCTATCCCCCATAATAAATTGCTAGCAGGATGAAAAATTGATATATAATTATGTTTGGTATAAAATTATCATGTTCAAGCTAATTTGGGTTTATTAGATAATAGTTGGATTAATAGTCAATTATGAGGAATAATATATTTTTGAATTAATTATACGAATTTTGAGCTTAAATTGTGAATATTTTATTTTTTTTATTTTTAACATGGTTTAATTTTTTTAATATTTAATTGAGCTTAATTTGAATTATCATACGTTAGTTGAGTGTTTGGCCATTTTGTAAAAAAATTATAATTGCTAAAAAAATTATTTTGAAAATATTTTATGAGATATGAAATTTATTTTGGACATAATTTATACTAATGGGTGCATTTGATTTCTTTAGAATTTGGAGATAAAATTAACGAAACTCAATGGTGAAGATTGAATTCTAACAATTAAAAGAGCATTCAAGGACTATAAAGAAACAAGATAAAAAGAAATTATCAAAGTTCATTAAGAATAAATGGATATTTCTAATAAAAAAATTAGAGAACCTGTTTACTTTTATTTTTATCATTTTCTTATTAGTTTTTTTTTAATTTAATGACTGAGATTTTTTTTAAATTTTTTACCCTCTTTTTTAGTCATGAGATTATTCTTTCCTAACTTTTCCTCACACACACGCAGCCGCCAGAATTGGAAAAAAGAAGGCATCTCTCTCTCGATTTTTTCGGTTGCGTCTCCCATCTCCATTTTTCGATTTCATCCATCCACCGAGCAGCACACCCAAAATAATCATGATTCATTTATTTTGTTCAGTTCACCTGACCCAAGCAATATATTCCCCTACACACACCGAAAGCCATTTTAATTAACAACCAATTTCTCTCCCCTTCCATTACCTACATGGACTGTCACACCTGAAAATATGATGTGAACGGCGTGCAAGAGTGAAGGTTTTAGCTTTCAGAGTAAAAATTGAATGAATGAGAATCGTCACTAAAATTTTAAGAAAAATCTTAAAAAACTATTTAAAGAAAAAAAAAAGAAGGTTTGCAAAAGCAGAAAATAGGTCCGCGAGTCAGTTGAATATGGAAAAGATATTAGGTATCCCATAACACCTGTTTATAAGAACAGTTACCTAAAATTTATTGTGCTAAACTAATATATCTTTGAAGTTATTTTAATTATCTCTTTCTTATTCACATGTTTGACATAAAAAATGATAATAATTAAGTGAAAAATATTTATTTAATTACAAGCGAGGACTTGACTTAAAATCAGACTCCGAGACCTACATACCCTATAATGAGAATCAAAGTTCACGTAGTTCGGACTTAAAAATTTATTGGTGAAAATATTTTTTTTCAAAAAAAATTAATTAAAAATAATTCACCATTTTACAAATAAAATAATTTTTGAAATTTTGATATGTGTGTTTTAAATTATAAAAAAGAATTTAATTTCAATTATTTTTTTAAATTTTTGAATTTTTGGAATAAAGAAAAGAAAAAAGTTAAAATTTTTTTTTATGTTTTATGATTGAGAATTTAACCGCTATACTTGCAGAGCCTTATCGGCTCACACAATAATGTAATCATTTTAAATATCTATGAAAATTTTAAAATTTCTTGCGATAAAAGAGTTTAAAAATTTAATTTATTTATATTTTTAAGTGTTAGTAATAATTTATTTAAGCATGTATATATATGTTTTTAAAGAATCTTAATCATCATACCTGTAAAGTCTTATTAACTTATACGGTAATATAATTATCCTAAATATTTGCAGAGATTCAAAATTCTCACACAATAAAAGATTAAATAATAGGCACTTTAATACATTTTTAATTTAATTGATTTAATATATAATTTATTTATATTTATTAAAAACTTAATCATTATATTTACAGAGTCTTATTAACTCATATAATAATATGATTATCTTAAAAGTTTACGGAGATTTAAAAATTTTACATGACTAAAAGATATAATCGGTAAATGTGATTATAATTTAAACACATTAATTTGATTAACTAATTTTTATAAATTGTGTATTATATCATTATTTATAAAAAAATTATTTATTTATTATAAAATTGAGAATCACTACATTTGTGAGGACTTATTATCTCACATGATGATGTGATAAATGTAATTCTCTATGAAAATTTTTGAAGTCTCACATGAGACTTAATAAATTATTAATTTGAATTATAAAAAGAAAGTTAATTTTAATAATAGGCCTTTGAAATCCATATTAACATATAAGTTTTACTCTCATATCTGCAAAATCTTATTGATTTACACGATATAAAATTATCCTAAATATTTATAGAGATTCAAAGTCTCACATAATAAAAGGATTAAATAATATTCACTTTAAATATATTTTAATATGTAATTATACAATGTATATTTTTAAATATAAAAATCTTAATTGTTATACCTGTGAAACTTTATTGACTCACACGGTAGTACGATTATCCTAAAGGTTTACGGAGTTGTAAAAATCTTATGTGACTAAAAGATCTAATTAGACAATATAATTATAATTTAAATTTATTAATTTAATTAATTAATATTATAAAAAATGTTTATTGTTTTATTTACAAATTTTTTTATTTATTTACCATATAAATTGAGAATCATGATATCTACGAGGATATTTCATC